TTTTAAGATATACAAACAATTTTAAATTTTAAAATACACAACATATGCGGGTGTAGCGTCCTCTTAAATGATTTTAAAAATGCTAGTGATATGATATATATTATTGTGATATAATGATACTATTAATTTTTAATTAAATCAATATTAATAACTCACATTTTTACGCTATCATATTATACTTAAAAAGTAACATTATTTTATAATAATTGCTAATTGGTACAACATATTCGTATTGGACATTTTAAATTTGTATTTAATTATGAATGTAGATACTACAGCGGTTAATTAAATCACGAGGCAAGYCACAATATCGACATCTCAATGTTCAAATGGTTGCATCTGAAAAGTTGGCCCAATGCCCATCAGAAATGTTTGACGTGATATTGGACGAAAATCGGTTTGAAGATGCGTGTGATCACATAGCTGGGTTCTTGGAGTCTTATTGGCGGGCGACACATCCACACCAGATTCAGGACTCTAACGAACAGCAACTTCTTACGAGACCACTCAAAAAATCACCGAAAATAGATCTATCCATGATAATACCATTGACAAACGTTTGCTCTTCTTTGTCAGGTAAGTTACAACTGCTGTACTCATTTGTATTGAGAATAAATTTATTCACCGGGAAATCTATTATACCTACATTTATATTTTATACCTACGGCAGATATGATAACTAATAATAATAACAATAATAATAATATATAATATTCTATACTATTTTTCTATTTAATTGATTACATGGATATAGCTGAAAATGTTTATGGTGGGAGAAATTAAAATAATTATTTGTAGCACGCTCATGTGGGACAAAGCCCCTACTCCCACTCATACATAATTTGTTTGTTTAACTCTAAACTTATCAAATACCTATCAATATAGTTCTGTATTACATATAAAAATTAACTACATTTAAATCAAGAACAAATCCATTTTGTGTACCCCATGATAGACATAACATCTTTAACAGTGGTGTACACGTGTAGTATGACAATTTGTACACGAAGTTGTGAAAAACAAATAACGACTACACAAGACACGACAGATTGCTTTAGTAGTGTTCGTACAACGTATATTCCAAATGTACAATAAATACAAATAAACAGTGTCTCCAAATAACATATTTATTATAACATAATATTTTTGAAATTTTGGCTATACCCATTATACACAACATATACATAAATATATGTAGTATCATTCTATATTTGTATTATATAAATACATGATTTACTGTGTTGCGAAGAACCCTGTGATAATTAATATTGAAGACAATGATGAAATTTAAATCAATAATTTATTTCAAATTCATTCTTATTGATTATCGAGTATACGATTACAATTAAATGTTTAAACAATTTTCATTTTAAAATAATTTATACATTTTTATTTATACTTATAATTTACATAACTATATAAGACAACAATATAGAAATACAGCAGCACATTGAGAATCTATCCCCCATATCCGTACCTTCCCCGAATGACTCCGTTGACTCTGCATATTATAGTGCACATAAACGATTACCAAAAATATTGTTAAACATAAACTTAGCCCTCACGTGGGATAAATAGGGCTGATGGTATTGAAAATAATTTTCGGTATTACGGTATTGATTTCAATACCGGTTTGAAGCGGTATACCGAAAAAGCGAAAAATTTCGGTATATCGAAAAATCGAAACAACGAAACGTTTCGGTATACCGAAATACCGATATGATACAGTACTACAGTATACCGAAATTACGTTATTATTTACTTTAATATTGTTACACAGTATATACCTATTACCTACTTAATAGTTTATTATATACTATATTATAACCTACACTATTATCATTGATACTAGAAAACAGCAAGCACTAGAACTTGTACTAATGTCTAATAATAAATTATTTCATACATCAAAAACACCTACGTACAGAACATAAAAAAAAGTATGCTGTTTACAGTATAGATATTGTAATAACGCAAAAATAAAAGAAAAGAAAT